ACAGTGGTTGTATAAAAGTTGTATTGCACTGTTATACATTGTGTTAATAGGGTAGATTATTGTAGAAGGTGCTTGTTATCACCTTTACTTATCATCGTTTATAAATGTATTGTAACATGTTGAATGAGGAAAGAAACAACAAGTCTTCAGTTTCAATTTGTATATTCAAAAGGAAGCAAACTATTTAATGTTTTACTTCAGGCAATTCCGTGGTGTTTTACTCCACGGAGGTCTTTAAACCTTTAATCAGTGAGTGCTGATTTCGCTTTTGTTATATTAGCTTTAGCAGCACAACCATATAGTTTTGTGCTGCTTTTGATAGAGCAGCTGGGGGATTGAGAACCTTGTTCACAGTCGATTCATTATTGATCCTGTAGTAATAGTCTAATGGTGGCTGAGGTATGAGGCTAAAACAACTCTGTATTTTACACTAGTGTCTGTGCAAGTGCGTGCTTGCACTGTTACCACCTCTTCCAGCATTACTCAATTGTGTTGTAATGCTTCTCAGGTTGGAGTCGCCGACTCGGACTCTTACCCTTGAGGCCCCCAGAGGTGTTGAGGTCAACGCAGGAGTGGGAGACTTCACAGCGTCCTGTAGAAAAGACCTTCTCCTGCAGTCATCAGAAGGAGAGGTGGGTGTGTCTTTTCAACCATAGCTTTGTTTGGCTGTGTGTTTGTCAATCAATATGTTTTAGTATGTCGGAGAATACATGTATGTGTCTGTGTGTGTTTGTGTGAATGAGAAATGAAAAATGTAGCTGTGTTTGTTTGGAAATAGCAACAACACAAACCAGCAAAATCAATGTAGTGTGTGTGTGTGTCTGTGTGTCTAGACTCCGTGGAAGTATATAGTGTTGGGCCTACTTCATTAAAGTACCTTATTAGGCTAATGAGCGTCATCAATCCAGGCGACCTTGTCCTCCTTTTCTCCCCTCCTCCTCTCATCCCTCCTTCCTCTCCCCCTCTTCTATTTGGGAGATGTGACTTCATTAAAGCAGGTTTGATGAGATTCCCTGTCAGTTGCTGTTGCATGTGTATGTGTGTACGTCAGGGTTTTTGTCTGTATCATTTTTAGACTGCTATCTCACTCTCATTGTCAAGATCTTTGCTTTGCAGCCTGCCATGTCCTGTGAGCACCATAGCAGACGTAGCCATTATCTGTGTGTGTGTGTGTGTGTGTGTGTGTGTGTGTGTGTGCTCATCAGCGTGGCATGTTGCATGTCTGCTGGAGCGCTGTGTCATTAACTCAGTAATTACCAGAAAAATAGGCCCCTCTTGTTTGTCACCCTCACTGTCATTGCAAGTCACACACACCCTGTCTTTTATCAAATTCACTCATTCTCATACACAAGTCCTTTTTTCACTATCCCCGTATGAAACAAGTCATTGACATAATATATTCTCTTGCCCCTTATACCCCTACCATCACAACTACAAGCCTTATCCCTAAACCATATCCTACACCATAACCTAATTTTAACCTGAACCATAAAGCCATGACTGGGCCACAATTCAAGTGTCCCTTTGGTTGGGTGTGTATTCAAATACACAAAGACACACACACTGATAATAGAAGTCTCTGAAAACAACAGAACAGGTTTGATGCTCCTTGTCTCAACTTATTTCTTATTTCCTTTCCTCTATCACCTCTATTTTTTGAATTTCTCTGTCCTCTCCTTATCTTTCACTTTCTTATCATTGTTTTCTGCTCTGCCTTTCTTTTGAAAAGTACACAGTGTCATCCTTACATCCAGGAACTAGAAGTCTGCAATAAATGAAGCACATGCAGGTCACTTTCGGCATATTGTTAACATAATAGGAAGATGGGAGTGTCCGATAAACAATAAATGGTGTACTCCTCAAATACTGATTTAATGTGTCGAGTCAGGCAGAATGATATACAGTGTATTAAAGCTGTGGAGAGGTGTGTAGATAATATATGAAAGTGTAGTGAACTATTTAATGAAGCTCTTGATGTTGTGAGGGGGGTAAGAAGCAGCATTTCATTTACACAACTATATTTAAGAAAAAATTGTAAAAATGTCTCCCTGTAATATCTTTATGCATATTATTAAATAACAGCTGGGTGTCAAAAGTTGCAAAGTACAGTAGCAAAACACCATAAAGTTAGACACTAATAACACTTCAGGTCTTCATGAGGTACTAAGGTTAAATAAGCTCCAATATATAAGTCTAAATGTTTGACGTTTAGAGCTTGTAAAGCTATTATGCAGATGTTATTCACTATTTCCTTAATATCCGATGTAAAACCTCTCTAGTGCTTGGGAGAAAGCAAAATGACTGCCTGCCGAAAAAGTAACTTTTTTTTAATCCATCCAAGGCCACTCCAGAACCCTGCAGCTGAGTTTTTATGAACCAGGTAATATCCAGAGTATTAAGGTTTTTACAGCAAAAAATGTCCCTATGCCATAAAATACTTTTGGGGGATGTCAAAGACTCCCAAAGGGTCTAAGGATACCCATGTATCTCAGTTGAAGATCAAAATATAACTGCCATAAAGCGCTCCATAAGGCTGTCAGAGGGGCAATAAAACATTTTGAGGGGACAAATAATTAAACTGAGGGAACAAAATAAGAATTAGAGCTGCAAGCCAGTTTGGCCCATTCTCACCCATGCTCTGTTTTCCACATGCATGCAGGTGTTAGTCTGTATCTATTATCCTTGTGATGGATTGTCTATGCAAACAAGAATACAGGCAGGTCTATAGGAGGTTAGGGAGCATCCAGAAGTACTAAAATTCAAAGCTAGTTTTGGTTCCAGTGAAACCCTGGCCTACTCATCCATATTGCTCCTTTGTAGTTTTAAAATGTAAATGATCCATGTCCAAACAAGTTTATTTTAGCTATGTATCAGTAATAATCCTTGTCCACGCTAACACACACTGGGGATGTGTGTGTCGCTATAGCCAGGAAGCAGATTTTCTATGCTGCAGTTGGTAGCTTACTTACAGAAAATACTACGAACAAGACACAATAATGGTGAAAAGTAAGATTTAATTTCTTAGACTCATGATGAAGTAGAAGTGTTACTAACAATAAACTGTGAAGGCAGGTGATTGTGTTTTTATTTCCTTATGTCCCTGTTTTTTTGTCTGATCAATCAACGCAGCCCTGGAATGTTCAGCAGCTTCTCCAAACCTCGACATTTCAAGCACAAGTGTTTAAAACAAAAAAAAAATGTGTGTAAATGCAGCCTGAGTCTGCAGGTCTCAATTAGTTGTCCCATTCTTTTGGTCTAAAGTGATGAGGGCGGATGTCTAGTCACCTGCCCAGCAACATTACATGTTAATGTGTGTCCTCAAGCCAAGCACAACGGTACAAAAAGAGAATGACACTGTTGTAATTCATGTTGTAAAGGCAAAACAGAATTGTAGTAAGGTCCCGAACCCTTAGAATGTCTCTCCTCCCATTTCCCTCTCCTCTGTGTCCTATATCTCTCCCTTGTTACAGTTCCTTATTCTTTCTTCCCTGACTTGTCTCTCTATCTCTACCATCTTCTTTTCTTTTCCTCCCTTTGTTTTACTTTCTTCTGTTACACCTGCCTCTCATCCTCCTCCCCCTCCTCCCCTCTGCCTTTCAGCCTCTCAGTCCTTCATCTCTAAGTAACCCAGCCTATCTAATTAACTTTCCACTGCCGGGGTTATACATCACTGCGGCTGTCACTTCATAGGGAAAAGGGAGGGGGTATTATAATTTTTACCTCTTTTTTGTCATCTTTCTTTCTCTCTGTTTCATGTGTTCGTTTGTGTGTGCCCCCCCCCTCCCATTATCCTTGCATAAATAGATGTCTTCCTATTGATGGTGAACAATAGCGTTTAGCTGTGTGCAACAATGATTGTGCTGAGGGCTTTTGGCAAGGCCTGATACTGTGAAAGGATGGACAAAATAAAGGACTTGTGGTGCTCTGCTGCTCAGCCTCATCACCCTTTACTTCAGCCCAGAAGAAGAAAGAAAAAAAGCTCTTTTCACCAAGGAACAACCTTATAAGAAGTCTTATCAGCAAAAAATGTGTTTAGGAAGGCCCATGTAATTACAGTGGGCAAATGTGTGAGATTGTGATAAACCTCCACTAATACTGCCATTTGGAATAAAACAATTTTTAATTAAAAGGGTTGATGACAGAAAATATTCTCCAAATTATAATTATTGTAGTGTTATAATAAGGGGGGTCATGTTTTGTTTGTAGTACTCGCCAAACTAACCAACAAAATAATGCTTCAAAAGACCATCCCGTTTTTACCATCCCAGGTAGCACCGACTTACAGATATTTTCTATGTCTTTGTTAGTTTGAAATCATGTTGGAAGGCAAGATGATCCCACCATTGCTCAGTTATGCCAGTTAGATAAACCAAGGTTAGGAACAAAAGTATATTTAAAGGTTCAGTGTGTAAGATTTAGGTGAAAGGGATTGATTGGCAGAAATTGAGTACTAGTGTGTTTAGGAGCGGGTTCTGTCTCCAGAGGTCGCCATGTTTTTACTCTAGTCCAAACTGGAAAAACTCAAGAGAGTTTTTATGACAACTGAAGGCTACCACAGGTTCTCTTTTATGTTTGGAAGGAGAGTGTGAGGTGAGGGGTCTTTTTTTCGGAAACTCTACTCATCTCTACCTGCAAAAAGATTCTGAAATGTCTCCTCTTTTGTGATGTTTTGCCAATTTCAAACCACGTCATCGTGACCAAAACATGTCTAAGAAGGGAAAATAAAATAGTTTGTACTTTTTTTAATTATTGAGGTGGACAATTGAAATTTTAAATTATGTTCTTTGAATTTTGATGGTAAAATGCTGAGAAATTAGATTTTAAAAAGATTTTCTCAACACTTATTATTCTCTTTCTATTTTTTAATGCAAATCAAAAGGAAAGTCAAACATGGAGAAATTATGTGATGTTTATCACTAAATGAAGCAACATAAAGTGGATCTCCCCATAACTTTTCTTACATACTCTTGTTGTGTTTCATCGTGCACTGAGTGTGGCACACGACAAAAAACACAGGAAGGACGTATTTCCTCTCTCTGTGTCAACCTATTCTGTTTTATTTTAAAAAGCAACAAAAACTGTATAAACATCCCTTAAAAAGAGTTTATCCAAATAGCTTGCCATTTCATCCATTCTCATAAAAGCTTCCGCAACCGCTGACACCATCAAATGAACAAAGGGGAGCACATGAAGGGAGGGTGGAAGGAGGATCGGATGAGTGGGAGGCGCAGGAGGATGGCAGAAAATAGATGTTTCTGTCGATTTTGCAGTAGAAAATAAAGGCGTGCAGGACAGCAAGGCTTAAAGCCAAATCAATGTTGTCAGCAGCTGGCACTTAAGAAGGGGCCATTAAAGTTTAAAAAGTTTGGAAAGCAGTGCTGGAATTAGGGCCAAATGGGTTAGAGGTAGGGGAGCGCTGGCTTCCATTAAAATCAAAGCCAACAAGAGTTGACAGTTCCTCTCAGGATTCCTGTAGTCCTCCTACTACCTTTTTATCAACTCCCTCTGTCTCGCTCTCCCTTCATCTCTCTATCTATCCTGTATTCAATCACTCTGTCTTTTTTGCTTGTCCATCCATTTTCTCGCCCCTTCGATTTTGTACATTCTTGCACCGCCTCTGTACTTGTCTCTT